AACTCCAAAAACTTAAACGGAACCTTATTTGTAGCTAAAACGTCGCAGTCGTAATAGTTTATAAGAAATTTATTTTCGTTTTCTTATATTAATATGTAAGGAACCCGTGGTAAAACAGACTGATTCACCCCAGGCCAGTTTTTTTATAATCTCAATATAATATTACGGTGAATCATCAGTTATTATTAAAGATATAACGAATGAACTAATTTTAACTTATCAAGGTAACAATAACATGAAGGCTTGAAGAATCAGTTAGCTAAATGCTGGGAGTGTTTTTAAAAGATAATAAACACGTTACTTTAAGATATTTTAGTAATGTTCTATAATTTGAATTAATTTAAAAGGTGAATTATTGTCGAAACAAAAGTGTAAATATAAATATAAATTTATTTTGCTTTTATTATGTTTTTAAATTTATAGCTGGTAACAAATTTGTCAGAAAAACTAATTATGATATGACCAAAACAATGGAAACAAAATTTGTTAGTTATTTTGGTTAAGATTAAGATAATAATGTTAAATTTTATATAGATAATCGCCAACGTCCATACCACGTTGAATACACCGGTTCTCGTCCGATCACCGAAGTTAAGCAACGTCGGGCGCGGTCAGTACTTGGATGGGTGACCGCCTGGGAACACCGCGTGATGTTGGCTTTTTGTTGTTTTTTATTATGTATATTATTTGAAAAAATGTCTTATATTATTATTATTATTATTCAAACTTGTTATTACAAAATTTCATCACTTCTTTTACTTTTGTAGAAGAATTTTTTTTTCAACTTCGAAAGTTTACATAAGTCTTCCATTTGTAACCGAGTCATTAATTTTATCTCAATATACTATCTGATATAAATACAGTCAGTGTTCGCTCTATTACCGAATACCTTTCTCTGCTACACACGCGACCTATATTCAGATACAATGTGATAAAACTCTAGTCTAATTAACAGTGAAAAGAATTACATTCAATGCAGCGATTTCACGAGCAACGCCGCCGGCTAGCAGCTGTTAATGAAATAAATCAAAGTACTCATTATGCGATAGTTTACAAGAGAAATTTGACATTGGATAACGTTACGAATTCAGAAATATAAATTTTACTTTTGTTAAACATTCCTCGGAATTATTTCCAATGAATTTTGTAAGAATATATAAATTAAAAAACAAATTAATTATTCATAATAATATAGAAAATATTAATTTGATACGATTGAATTAGTTTAAAAAGATATAACAAAAGAAACGTTCTTCAATTGAGAGATGGAAAAACAATGGATAACAGTGAACTTTGTGTAACTGAAATAAACTATGATCCTTACAAATATTTTTATGACTGAATATACCTGTGGATATTGCCGGGATAAAATTGTAGAAACCTGATACTACATTTAAGTTATATAGTAAAAATATAAATAGCTATTAATTTTGTTCAATTGGAACATTTTGTCAAATAATATAATAAAAAACGACAAAAAGCCAACATCACGCGGTGTTCCCAGGCGGTCACCCATCCAAGTACTGACCGCGCCCGACGTTGCTTAACTTCGGTGATCGGACGAGAACCGGTGTATTCAACGTGGTATGGACGTTGGCGATTAAGATTGTAAAATTTAATATTATTTTCTTAATCTTAAACAAAATAAACAAATTTTGTTTTCATTAAATAACAATGTGTTTCATCCATATTTTATCTTATTTTAAGGTAGTATTGGTGAATTTGTAACTGACTATATATTTTAAACATAAAAAAGCAACATAATTTAATATTTATAATATCTTTATTTGTAGTTATCTTTATATTTATGTTTTGGTGTACATATAATGCACGGTCTGTTGAAATTATTCACGTAGCATTAGGTTAAACTTATACATATTTTAATGAAATATTAATTTGTTTATTATAGAAGGCGGATATGACGAGTGATAATACAAATATTAAATTAGACAAACAAATAAATAACGTTTTTTTATGAGAAAACGATTTGTTATAATTTAAAAAGTATTAAATATCAAAATATATATGATCACTTCAATCAAAGTACTAAAAACTACTTATAATTAGAATTTTTCTCTTAACATAAGTCTAAACCTACTACTTTTGTTATTCGTATAGTTTCAATTTTTCAGTGTTACTGGTGACGCTGTCAAAGTCAATAAGACAGTATACAAGAAGAACAAAAAACTATTTTCATTCCTCATACTCGAAAAGTAGTGTTGTTTTGATCTGGGTGGAAAATGCTAAAATCCTAGGGCAGGAAAAACTCATACAAATTACTTTACAAATGAATTTCAAACGAAAAACTACTGTCAGCTGACATTATATGTAAAAATAAATAAATGCTGAGGCCATGCGATTTTCTAAACAGCCAGTGTGAACTTACTTAGCGCAACTAGTAGATGTTGTATTATCTTTGGCGCGAACTTCTTTGAGGAGAATAAACCTCGACGAATACGCGGTGAATTCCATTATTATACAGGGTGACTAGTGAATTACTATCGATACTTGAGGACGTGATATTTGACGATCATATATGACAAAATAAAAATTAATATAACATAAATATTAATAAACTTCTGAGTAAAGTTAACCAAAAGTTATGGAATTAATTACGCATCGTATGAACACCCTACAGATTAGGTATACACACACACACACACACACACACACACACACACACACACACACACACACACGCGCGCGCGCGGCGGCGTGTTGTTGTATCAGCACGCCGCCGCACGCGTCCACACTTGGAACACTTGGAACGTGTACACACTTTATTTATTTATACGGAAATTTTGACCAAAATTAAGTGCCTATTTTTTTTACATAATTCGAATGAGAATCATGTACCGAGTAGTCTCCTTAAATATTGATAATAATTCACCAGTCACCCTGTATATATATACATATTGGTTGTACAGTTAAGGCAGAGGTGGCCTAGTGGTTTAAAAGGCCCGCCTCTCATGCACGAGAGCACGGGTTCGATCCTGGCCCAATGTGATTTTTTCGAGTCATATGTACTTTCTAAGAATATTTAGACATCACTGATTAATGCATTCCCAAAGAGGGTTGATGTCAGGCAGGCGGCCGGTCGTAAAAACAATTAGCCAAAACTATTCACAACATGTAAGGCAGACCCTGGCTAAAGCTGGGAAATTGCCATCAAGAAGAAGACATATATTGGTTTTACATGTCTTTTATAATATGTCATGAGCGTTCGTAATTATTATAATTTGTATATGAACAGAAAAATTTTTAAACAAATAATGTCTTCATTAATTTTACGCGACGGTAATTCTATGGGATGAATATATACAAACATACATATAAAAGTATTTCTATCTATATTATAATTCGTCGCTATTGTCACTTGTTTCTTTGAATAAGAACCTTCCATTACATTGATCTATCTGTCTTAGGAGTCAAACTTCTAAGTCTAAATAAACTTACTACGGGTTCTCATCCTTACTACAAATACGTACCATCTCGAGTTTTTTACCCACAAACGACGATATGAACGTAGCTTTAACAATAAAAAATGCAATGCTCCGTATTTGGTGATGCATATTCTTCGCATACTGATGTCAAAATTCCTATATTTATATTTAAAGTAATTAAATAAAAATGTTTAATTCTTTAGTCGTCTTTATCTTATTAGTTCGGAATGACCTTCGATACTTCAAGAGGGTATAGACAGCTTATACATGACTTCATGACTTCAAGGCTAGATATACAAGAACATATATACATATATAATTTATCAGGTAAAAAAAACTTATTAAACATATTTACTTAAGAATATAAGCGTAAGTGAAACTGCCCACACTACTTTATAGATTTAAATCACACGAAAAAGTTTTAATTTAAAAAGTATTGATTAAACAAATTGTAATTCAACTTCAAACACAACATTACTTGTAAGTCGGAATGTGTAGGTTGCTAATTTTGTTTAGTTTAAAAGATATTATACTGTTTTGTAATTGCCATTTAAACAACACTCGTAAAATGCACATCTAACACTGACCTTTACATTACGAATTACTATGTATTTCATTCAACGTTATTTTTACAAAATATTTTGCTTATTTTAAGTTGTCTAGCCTTATTCGTTATTAAAACTATTACACGACCTTATTATTCTGTTTTCGTTGTTTTTCTATACTTTTGACACTCGATTAATTACAAGAAAAAATTGGCGCGAATTTTTTTTGTCATAAATAAACCGACAGATAATAAGTAATAGCATTTGTAGAGACTGTTGTTATGAAAGAAAAAAAAACAAATTTGTAATCTATGTCAATTCTTTGTATAATACATAAATAGATTAATAAAAAAGGTTTTATATATTATTATAAATATAATATAAGTATAAGTAAATAAAAAATAAATTATTCATTTCCTGTCAAACAGTTCCGAACCACTCAATAAGACCCTAATTTTTGAGGATCATAACGGTATTATTTGGGACAACGACCTTTCGTGTAAGTAGGACACGAGACGTAGCAAATATCTTAAACAGTTTCAACTCAATTGTTAAGAAATCACTGTAAAATGTAAATTTTAATCCTTTATGCAAAACAACTGGTATACTGTTCCAAATCTTTTCTCTAATGACGTGTATTGTTTGAACTTTCCAATTTTCTCGCAACATTTAACTAAATCACTGTACATAATACGGCATTGACGATAATAATTCTAAAAATGTAAGACGGACCTTGCATAGACAAAAAGCGAAAGTCTCTTTTTGTACCTTGAATCACTACCGTATGTGACAGTAGAGTGAAAGAAGAAATGGCGGCCATTGCACCATTCGTTGTCAGTTCTGACGTCGCCGTGCGTTTGTGTCGACGTGTTGTGTACTTTTAAATTATATTATGTTTTTCGTACAATATATAATATAAAATTAACATAATAAAACAATGATGGATTTAAAAGAGATTATAAAATGGTTCATACCGTGTTTTCATCTGTTGCTGAACTATCTCTCGTTTAAAATGGATGTGCGTGTGACTGTTTTTTGTTTGTTATTAGTTTTCGCGTATCCCAGTTCCGCGGCTAAACTGTATAGCGATGATCAAGTTTCGAGTGTTGATAGTAATTTAAGTAATTTTACCAAAAATATAAATGAAATAAATAATGGCGGCCTTAAAACCGAACAAAATGCTAATGAAATTATCGAAAAGTCGGACGGCTTATTGGATTTTTCGCTCGGTGAGTATTTAAATTTGTTTTATGATTTTATTGAGCTATATAAACTGAATGAAATATTAATTTTAGCTGAAATAAATCAGGTCAGTTATTAAAAAAATCATTTTCCATTCAACAAGTGGTAGTTTTTCAATAAATTAGGGCTTAGTAATGCCCACAAGTTTTCAAAATAAAAATCGTACTTCGAAATATTTTAAACCGTTAAAACTTACACAACATTAATGATTTTTCAAATTAATTTGATTAATATTTTTCAATTAATACGTAGCGGGGTTAAGGGTTCAAAGCTTTGATTAAAACTTAGGTACATATAATAATAAGATATATTTCTAAGACATATCTTATATCTAAAACTACATGTTCTATGATATTTCGTTTAATAATAAAAATATAAATATTTTTATTAAACACTGGATGTATTTTTTTGTTTAATACATAGATATAACAGACGTTTAAATTTGGGCGCTAAAGAAAGTAACCATACTGTTTAAATTAAAATCCAAATATAATTTAACTAAATAAAAACTAACAAGCAATTTTAATAATTAAATTATAAGTCATTAAGATTTCGTGTTACGAGTTCAGTCGTACTAAGTTTTATTAAGAAAATAATATTTAAAATTCAGATCCTTATATACTACTTTTCAACAGAGTCGCTATCAGAAAGAAATATACAAAGTATTTTAAAACAATACATATAGTAATATTTGCGGCCCTTTTATTTTAACATATATAGCTATTGCAACGCCATCTGCCGGGCAGATATGTTAATCTAAATTTATGGTGAGAAAAACAAATGCATACAAAAAAAAAATTCATTGAAATCGGTCCAGCCGTTTAAGAGTTCAGTGATACACACACACGTACAGTAGAAATATATACAGGGTGACTGGTGAATTACTATCGATACTTGAGGACGTGATATTTGACGATCATATATGACAAAATAAAAATTAATATAACATAAATATTAATAAACTTCTAAGTAAAGTTAACCAAATAATTAAATATAATTCGCAAACAAACAGAGCAGAAACCTGACGTCCATTAGTTTTCTCTTTACCTATTTATTAAAAAAAACATCGTCTACCATTCGTCTCGTTATAATCGCCATAGAAATGTTTCACGGCTATTAAATTAATATAAAAAATACATCTTTATAGAAAATTTAACAAAATAATTGTTATGATTTAACAATATTAGGGAAGGAATCGTTAAAATAATTGAATTATCGATTTATGTTACCGAGACATCGATTGATAGAAATTAATCGTTATTTTATTTCTTATATAAAAGTTATTTTACATTTTTTATATTGGAATAAACATAAAATTATGTAATAAAATAGTTTATGTACAAAGATTTGCTCGAAATCATTTTTATGATAAAAACTTTTGTATATAGAATTGGTGAAAGTATTATTATATACATACCAAAAGTAAATAAGTTATAAGATGCAAAAATATAAAATAATTAAAATAAAGCTAAAGTGTTATTATTATTCTTCTTCTTCTACCAGCCAATTTCCCAGCTTTAGCCAGTTTCTGCCTTACATGTTGTGAATAGTTTTGGCTAATTGTTTTTACGACCGGCCGCCTGCCTGACATCAACCCTCTTTGGGAATGCATTAATCAGTGATGTCTAAATACTCTAAAGTACATATGACTCGGAAAAATCATATTGTTACTTGCCAGGTCCTAGATCGAACCCGCGCCCTCATGCATGAGAGTCTGGCCTTTAACCACTAGGCCACCACTGACTTATAATTATATTAAATAAAAATGAATACTTAATGAATATTATATGACTTAATACTTAAAAAAATCTGATTTAGTTCGTAATTGGTATAATTAAATATTCAAAGTGTTCCTTAAAAACCAATACATACTAGAATATTAATACAATGCAGTCTTGTAAAGTATGCTTAATACGAGTGTCTTACTACGTACGACGCGTTTCCCGTTTTTCATACAATAACGTGTAAAAATCATATAAAGTGATAAGATTTATTAATCAAAAACTGTTAACGCTGCGTATGTAGTGAAGAACTTGTGGTAGGTATGTATAAAAAATATAGGTTTCTATAGAAATTAGAACAATAGTAAATTATAAGTATAGTTGTTCATTTAAATCAAATATTATGACAGAGAATAAATTCCTCATCATTCCATGTATTCACGGTGCGTGTGTCGGGTCCATCGTTGTAGTGAGAGGAGCTTCAACAGTGACTGGGACTTGTGACCCAGGTGTAGGTTTAAGGGTCCCTATCTAACGCGCGTTAAACGCTTACTTCCACCGTCCAAGCTCCTCTTTCTACTAAATTTGTAAAGAACCTATTAGGGCTGCCTTTGAAGTGCGTTCTAAGAATGAATTGATATTAGTTCTGGACAGGCCCAAGTCTTTTAGTAGGTTGCAGAGAGATTTTGTTGTCGAATCGTCCTTATTATGATAAAATATATTCGTTTTTATTAGTTATCGACAATGACCTAAAAAAATCTTATTTAATATATCGAAGGCTTTAAATTTATTAATATTTAAATATATTATATTTAAGCAGAGCGGATGCTAGATTTTATATCTTATATGAATTCTAAATAAATGTCATATTAATGATAAGTAAGATTCATTTAAACTAATATTTTTCGGATTTTTACTTCACAACAAACGTCGGGTGTATGTAGTTTATTATCAAAAATATATAATTTTCTATCTTCTATCTTCTATATATATAAAAATGGATTGCTGTTCCTTAGTCTCGCTAAAACTCGAGAAAAGCTGAACGGATTTATCTTATCTTAGTCTTGAAATGTTCGTGGAGGTTCAGGGAAGGTATAAAAGCTGAATAAAATTTATTAATTTCCGGGAAAACCCTAAAAACAGCGCTTTTTTATTTCCCATACAAACGGTTTTTTGACATTAGATTTGACAACTAACTAATATGTCAATCACTTTGTCGCACTTTAAAACACGGAGATTTATGGCTTAAAGGTAAACACCAAAAATATAAATAATACCTACATAATTTATTTCTTGATTGAGGCGGTACGAAGTCTGCCGGGTCAGCTAGTATACAATATAAATAATATCTTTTCTTCAAGCCATCGTAGCAAGACTATACCCGGAAAGTATAAGGTTTTTATTCATATATGTACATACCTTATTGATTTTTAAGATTTATTAGGTAAAAACAGAAGACTGTTTATCTGTAACAAAAGATTAAGTGGGTAGGTAAAGATGTTGTAGAAAAATTATATATATACTTACATATTTCTTTATATACATAATTCTTCTGTGAGTGTGTATGTCACTGAACTTCTCTCAAACGACTGGACCGATTTTGATGAAATTTTTTGTGTGTGTTCAAGGGGATCTGGGAATGGTTTAGATTCACAATTTCGTCCGCTGGACAATGTTTTTTTTAATTAATTTTTAAATTATTAGAAGTAGTTGTTAGTGTCTTCTAGTATTATTATAATGTTTAAGTAACTTTTTTGTTAGTGATTTTTCGTATACGACTTTTATTTTTAGATATGATTCCGAAAATAAAAAAATATATAATTATTTATGAATATACCTATCATACAACAATGTAAAGAGTCTTTATCACATTAGAAGTAATGAATAATTTTATACTTTACTCGCTATTGTAATAAATATAAATTTTTCACGATAAATATATTTCGGGCCTTACCTTTTTGTGGTTATTTTAAAGTAAATATATTTTAAACGTTTCTTATAAATAATTTTCGCAATATTTTAAAATAATTTCAATTATTATATTATCCATATTCTCTAAATTACTATATCTCCATCATTATGAGGGCAGATTAACTTGTAATAGACACAATTTATATACATTGCAACTTAAGAAAACCATCTCAGTATATCAATGTAAATTTTTTCTATATAATAAAAATAAATGTACAAAAACATTGACCTATATATACATATATATTGGAAAGTTATATGACGAATGATAGATATATATCACAAATCCATTTCATTTCTTCAAGTAAAATATCTTGTATTGGAGAAAACAACTTAAAACTACATTAACCCGAATGACATCAAATGATTTATTTATAGTAAGTAGGTCTATATACAACAATTGTATGTACTTACATAGTACATACGAGGAAACTGGCGAAATTTACGTCAAAACTATTCAAGGTGGCACTTTACTTGGCGTTATAATAAGACCATGTGTGGATGATTTATTCGTCTTTATTTGACATATTTGCACAAGTAATACATCCACAAGAAGCGAAAACGTATAGACGTATTGTGACGCTAAGTGTGGATGTAGTGTTTGCGCTATTTGGACTACGTACAAATATTTGGACAAATGCGGGGAATACGCAACGCCAAGTGAAGTACCTTTAGATGAACGAAAAACTATTAATGCTGTGTTTTATATAAAGCGAACTTTGATCATACTAAAGAGATTTTGATAAGGTTTAGTTAAAATTAATAGTATATTATAAATGAGAATTCTGTGACAGAGAAGAAATAAAGTATAGAAATAGTAGTTATTATTATGAAGACCAATTTTTTTATGAATAAAATATGTGTCCTTGTATTTCTTGTATAAAAAGTAAAGTATAAATTACTCCACAAACTTAAATTAAGGCTTATACTAATAAAATTAATAAAGAAAATTGCGTATTAAAAACGTGCGTTACATTATTTTTCACTGGATCTTATCTTATTTAAGAACGTCGTTTGATTTTTTTAATTATATATTATGACAATAAACATTAATTTTATTTTTATTGTTAAAAATAATAATTATTTCGTTGTCATATTTAGGACCATGTTAATAACGTCACTATAATATATACTCATACTGAATTCCTGCTTATTTTATACCAGGAGATTTTTTCCTTTTTTTTCTGGATACTCTCGACAAAAAAGCTCTTTGTAAATAGAGTGAATTGACCTCAGCCTTTCGGTAGTGAACCTTTTTTTAGACATGGGTCCCTTTTTCCGGCCCTGAAGTTGATATTGGTGGTTCTATCTAATTTTCTTTTGTCAAAATCCATCCCATATAAATATGCTATAGAACAACAAACCTCTATTTGATTGTACATTGTGTTGTTGAGATCATCTCCGTGGATGCATGACATGAGTCGACTATATAGTGTTCATTTACTTTACTCGTAAAATAAGAGGATATTCTAAATATTAACCTTTAGAAGGATTGCAAAACAATTAATTAGTTTAATATAATGAGATCTAAGACTTTTGTTAGTATAGTATAAATGAAACTAATATTTTTCGAATATATGTACTACTTGTTTTTTATTATTTTAACTAGATACTCCCGACGTAATTACTTTTCAGCATCTCATTCGTAGTACGTACTTTTAAAAATAATAAAATACTCGTACTTATCCGAAAAATATTATGGTTATACTTTCATTCATTTTAATTGACCTTGACTCTATCTATGTATATTATAGTCAGTGGTGGCCTAGTGGTTAAAGGCCCGCCTCTCGTGCATGAGGGCGCGGGTTCGATCCTGGAAAGTACCAATGTGATTTTTCCAAGTCACATAAACTTTATAAGAGTATTTAGACACCACTGATAGATGAAGGAAAACATCGTGACGAAACCTGGACTTATATCAAATTATAAGTTTGAAATCACCATCCCGTTAAGCAAGCGTGGTGATTAATGTTCAAACCTTCTCCATGTGAGAAGAGGCTCAGCAGTGGGCTCTGATAGGCTAATGACAACTATATCTATACGTATGAATCTTTCTCCACACAGGTCGTACCTTCGGTCGTCCCTTCAAGAAGATGCTGCAAGCGATGATTCCTCTCGCATTCGGTATGGGTTCAGCGGCCACGTGGGCGGTTGTGGCCGCTCTGGTGGGCATCAAGACATTGGCTGTGACGCTCATCATATTGAAGCTACTCCTCATGGCTGGAGCTGCTAAGGTAAGATGGGGGGAACATTCAATACCATAGCTTTATTTATACTATCACACATAAAACTAACGTCGCAGGTATGAAAACCTCTCATCATTCCATGTATTCACGGTGCGTGTGTCGGGTCCATCGTTGTAGTGAGAGGAGCTTCAACAGTGACTGGGACTTGTGACCCAGGTGTAGGATTAAGGGACCCTATCTAACGCGCGTTAAATACAGAATACTTTCCGTATGTAGTTTATGAAAACTTGTGTTATATACCGATAGTAAAATTAAATTTCGTTGATTGAAATTTAGGAAGAAAATACAGGAGAATTGTTTGTTATAAAAATTATATTCACTAGTCGAGATGAAATCTTTGAATAATAAAAAATATTATTTTTAAAATTAAAATTAACGTAACATAATATTTATTTATATCATGTTTATAAGTAATATAGTTATTAAAATTCTAAGTCTTTTTTTAGATTCCTATAAAAAATCTACTTCTTTTACGAGTTAATTAAGAACAATTTTAAAATATCTTAGTTTTTAATCACCTATATCAAATTTCTCGTAACACTTCTATCAAAAAACCTGATTTAGTGACCAAAATTATTAAAATATAATACAAGAACCCACATATCATTCGGTCAATATAGAAAGCTACTTTCTTTATAATCATAAGAAAGAGATAGATATTATTATTGAGACGAGTAGGTCAAGGCCACTCGACATCATAAAACTTGCGAAATCACCTCATCTCCATATGAAATTAAAATTTTATATTTAATACATGTCATTGACATATATCGCCATATTGAAAGTAATGTCACGGTGACTGTCAAGTTCATTTTTAAATGACGTTCAGAAATATAAAAAGTATTGGGCGAGACACGTTCAGAAACCTTCATTAATTATTTTATTTTATTGATAGGTCGCCATTGCTAAAATTCTATCTCAATGCGTTCCACATGACTCTCCCAGATCAGAGTAATTTAGTAATATAGGGTAAAAGTACCGAAAAAACTTGCTATATCTGTGGAAAGGCAGTTGGAACTGCTAAGCATCTGCTGGTGAGATGTAAGGTACTCCTGGACAGCGGTCAATACTCGCGTCGTCACGATAGGGTTCATAGAAGTCATACGTGAAGCGGTTAGTCTTTCGGTAGCCAGAGCGCAAAAGGAAATAACCACAAACGAACGATCAGTAGGTTTTGTGAGAGAAGGCACCAGGGCTATAAAATCAAATGTCAAGCCTTACTCCATCCTTAAAGCGGCGTCGGATTGGACTATAATGATGGACACGTATGAAAAACAATATAAAATCCCCGAGGATATTTGTGCGTCGGCCTCCAGACCGGATATATTTTTGTATTCGCGAATTTTAAAGCGCGTAGTGATGATTGAGCTTAAACCAACATCCCCAAAGACCATACCATCAAGGTCAATAAGTATTACGAGCTCACTAACGAACTAACTCGAAATAGGTTCGTCGTTGATTTGTACGCGGTAGAGGTGGGAGCGAGAGGTATAACAGATAAATCTCTCTACAACCTACTAAAAGACTTGGGCTTGTCCAAAACTAACATAAATAATTTCTTTGAGCGTACTTTGAAGGCAGCCCTAGTAGGTTATTTACAAATTTGGTAGAGAGAGGAGCTTGGACGGTGGAGGTGAGTGTTTAACGCGTGAAGCTCGTCTCTAATATTATTAAAATTATGGTATATATAAGTAAATCGATTGTGAGACTAAACCTCTCATCATTCCATGTATTCACGATGCGTGTGTCGGGTCCATCGTTGTAGTGAGAGGAGCTTCAACAGTGACTGTGACTTGTGACACAGGTGTAGGTTTAGGGACCCCCCCTATCTAACGCGCGTTTTATCTTATACGAATTTAACTTTAAGACGTAAATTGTGTAATGACTCGTTATATTTTAATATTTATACTACATACAATATAAAAAATACCAAAAATATCACAGAAGTATTCCATCTTGGCTCCTGAAGTAATTAATTAACTTTGTCATAGAAAATTAATACTTACTTTTAGTTTTATTTAATTTATTTTCATGACAATGTTTTTTTAAGATTTTAATGTAAATTGGGCAGTATTTGAATATAATGAATTCAAATACTGCCCAATTTACTTGTCTTGTTAACGATAATATGAATAAGTTTTTATTAATTTTCAAGAGTGATAAAGTGGAGTTGAAATAAAAATTCTTAATTATTTTCTATATCGAAGTAATGCTCAGAAAGTTCCACAAATGTCAAATGTTTAAGCTTATTTGGAAGATGAAATCTGTGTAGTAACTGACTCAAAATAAATAAAATGAGAAAATGTGAATTAGTATGAGAAAGTTAACAAACTAATTGTTCTTTTGGTACCAATCAAATAATTTTAATTAAGACTATAATGTTGTATACAAGTATTAGCATTTTGGTCTAACCAAATTATCAACATACATAACATATTAGTTTAATGTTTTTGTTAGTTTGATTGAAAAATGTATTTGATTTAAATTTATATTTAAGTCTCAAGCTTTAACTAAATATTCATGTACTCTCTAAGGTAAATACAATTGAATTTAAAGCGACTTTCATTAAATTTAATATATTCACAGTTCGGTGCATTCTTCGCGTCTAAATCACATTCAGCTCACGACTGGAGTCCGCAGCAGAAGGAAATACATCTTCATATACACAACGGGCACAGTGAAGAACATGTACCTATATGTGAGTATAGCAGCGACATCTAAGGGGCGGTAGTTGTATTACATATGTAGATATAGAATTAAGTTTAAACAGCGACATCTAGTGGCCAATAGTAAAGTTGAAGTGTTACTTTTATAAAGATAGACTGGGTTCAAACACCGCCATCTAGTATGCATTAGTTGAAACTGATATTTCGGCTTTTACTCTTAAATTCCGGGAAGTATTGATTTTATTAAGACGTTCTTAGCAAAGAGAGCCATATATTTGAAACTAATATTTTAGCTAAATATGTATTTTTTAAACTAATTCCTCATATCTTGAAAATTTTTAACAGCGCCATCTAGTACAAGTCAGTATAATTATTAACGTCACCTTTTCGATAATAGATGTCGCTAGCTGTAAAAACAAATGATTTTATGAAACTACTATTTCTAGCTCCGTGGAATAGAGAGGGTATTCAGAACACAGCGGAATCAAAACACGTGAATGTTGTATACGAGCCTTACCCCGGACCACAAACAATTAGCACTCCATACGGACACTACATGAAGATTGACCCAGGGTACCAAATACCTCAATAATCCTACTAATATTATAATTGCGAAAGTTTGTGAGTGTGTGTGTATGTTTGTTACTTCTTCACGCTAAAACGGCTGAACCGATATCTATAAAGTTATGTATACAGGAAGCTGATATCCAGGAATAACACATAGGCTACTTTAGATCCCGGAAATCCGAGGGTAACACCGCGGGGCGCAGCTAGTATTCCTATATAAAATTATTTTTTAGTATAATAGTATATAACTTTCTTGTTAATCCACTACTGCCATTAAGTCGAAAATTATAGAAACTTGTAAATGTGATTTAATTATTAATTAAATTATGTATTTAGTTGATAGTTTGAAAAGTATTAATTAGTTTAAGTTTAAGTTTATTTATTTAGTTACCTTAATACATAGGACTATTTATTATATTTATTGAAGAGAATTACTTTATTGTAAATAATTTATTAGTTAATATTTAATAGAGGTCAAATAAAATTATTTAGTTGTCATTACCACAAACCAAATTCTGGTTTTCAAAGAGGTACATTAATTTTAAATGTTAAAAACTAAATGTCATACTGATTAAATATATTTTTTGTTAATGTTTTATTTATTTTAGATATTACAAACTAATTAACATATCAAAATAAAGTGATTTTTATGAAAATTCTTATCATTTTAATTATCAACATCACCTTTAAAACCGAAATTAAACCTTTCTGACCTTTTTGTCAGATGTCCATAATTTGTGTAACACTTCTACTAGTGTTTTTAGCGGGAATAATGAGATATTATGTTAAATTAAAATATAAAAGTTTTCAGTACAAAGATTCTCGGTGTCCAAGAGTTTTACAAGTATATATAAGTAAGTAAATATGTATATATATTTTTCCATCAATTTAAGGTATATCTCAAAATCAAAAGACTATTTTTGAAGTGAAACTTTTTATATTACGTTCAACAAGGTTGCGTTAAACGTTTAACGCTTATGAAGGGGGGATAAAGAAACAGTAAAAGGGAGTGCGGACAATCAATAGTGACTTGTAAGTAATGTTAATAAAGTTTATTTTAAAGAAACAATAAATTTCCTTAAAAATCAATTTCCATCTTTCCTGTTTTAATTCCAACATTACAAAGTTTCACTTCTTTTATTTAATAATACTTTAGTTATTCGTTTTCTTTGCAAATTCCAAAAAACGTCAATATCAAAGCATCTTCTATGTATGTTATAGTTAACTAACTCGTCATTAACGCTGTAGGTAAGTTTGCAGCCTAACCATATTTCATATCTACTTGGTCCAACTACTGATGCAAAGAATATTGTATTTAAAACAGCATTAGTATAGATAAAAGATATTTAATGACCAATAAGATTTTTTTAATATAAATTAAGGGTAATTTGTATAACAAATATTTTATCTTATACAGTTTCTTACACTAATTTATTGGTTTGCCAAATAATTTCATAGTTTTGATTTCAGATGTCATTATTGTCCTTTTTCTCTGATTTCCTCTCAATAATATATCCTTTTATTTATACAGCTCCCGACATCAGTTTTTCTTCTTCCTGGCAATTTCCCAGCTTTAGCCAGGGCCTGCCAAGCTCCCGACATCAGTTACTTTGCAGCAACAATAATCACGAAAACGAAATGAGAATGCACTTCTCTGTATTAAATATACCTTTAAACTCAAACTATTTCGTGGGTAGTTTGTTAGAAAAATAAAGAGTTCCACTATTTTATGAATATACACTTGATAATTTGTCAAGAAAATTGATTATAAAATCGTGCCTACAAAAATTGCAAAGAAGAGAAATATGTAATAATAAAAAGTAATACATTTTTTTTGAGAAGTAGGTATAAAAACCCTGATCCTATTCTAAAAGTTAATAACTATATAAAGTATAACGAAATATGTTACACCAAAGACTTGAATTCTTTATAATTTAGTTTAAAAAGACTAATCTTTTTCGTTTACTTAAAACTATGAGCCACATTTCAATGAAATATCAACTATTGAGACCTTTAAGATATTCCACTGATCTTTTTCAAAAGGAAGAAAAATAGAATCAGCATTTACTAAAAAAGCCTTTTTTGGGGCGAAAAAATATTTCTAATTTACTCAACTATTGCTAAATGTTAAATAGAAGAGAAATACTTGATCATACATTTCTGTTCAAAATTATAAATAAAGATATAGACAGCCCGCAATTACTTTCAAAACTATACTTAAATGCACCAGTTAAACTCCCAAGAATGCTCGTGTATACTCCATTCAACACAAAAAAATGTAAAAGTAATCTCTCTCATTATTCACCTTTGAATAGAATGACTTTAAAGTTTAACTGTCTTTATAAAGATACTAAAATTGATATATTCTCGGGAAGGCCTCTTGAATTTAAAAAAACAATTCAAAAAATTTTAACTAATGAAGCTTAGATTTTACTTATTTGTTTGTTCTGTATCTAAACTAAAATATATTAAAACCAAAATGTTAAGCTTGTGATGCACTCTGTTACTATTTCAGCATGAAGTGGTTGCCTGTAACTGAAGTAGCACATAGCATCTTCATTGTATTAATTTAAATGTTTGTATTTGTGTATACCTTGTTGGCGATCCAATAAATAAATAAAAAAAAATGTTCCATAACATTTCTTTACTTTAACACTCTTACTATTTCTTTCTCTTTTTCTGGACATACTGTATTTTAGACTATTTATTATATTTTTTTCTACATATATAGCCTTTTTCCAATTGGGTTAGAATTTTCTACCACAATAAGTCGATATCTAATTATTAAGTCTAGGATAAAGAAGTCTTTGGTTGCTATTTTCTTGTTTCTTCTATATCATATGGCAGCATGTCTAGTTTTTATACAGGGTGACTGGTGAATTACTATCAATATTTAAGGAGCATACTCGGTACATGATTCTCATTCGAATTATGTAAAAAAAATAGGTACTTAATTTTTGACCAAATTTCCGTATAAATAAATAAAGTGTTGACACGTTCCAAGTGTTCAAGTGTGGACGCGTGCGGCGGCGTGCTGATACAACACCACGCCGCCGCACGCGTATGTGTGAGTGTATGTGTATACCTAATCTGTAGGGTGTTCATACGATGCGTAATTAATTACATAACTTTTGGTTAACTTTACTTAGAAGTTTATTAATATTTATGTTATATTAATTTTTATTTTGTCATATATGATCGTCACAAATCACGTCCTCAAATATCGATAGTAATTCACCAGTCACCCTGTATATTCTGGATTCAAAGACTAATCTTTCTTTGGCAGGGATTCATTTAACTAAAATTACAATTAATAAGTTATCTTCATTTAGGAGTTACAATGATATGAACAAACAAACTGACATCCAAATTTAGAACAGATGAGTCGTGTGTAAATTTATTTCTAGTAAAACCAAGTTAATGTAAATAATACATTACTATTATTACACTACTGATCAAAGGCCTCTTTCTCACATGGAGAAGGTTTGAGCATTAATCACCACGCTTGCTCAAGACGGGCTATATCAAACTTATAATTGTGAAACTACAGGGTGACTGGTGAATTACTATCGATATTTGAGGACGTGATATTTGACGATCATATATGACAAAATAAAAATTAATATAACATAAATATTAATAAACTTCTAAGTAAAGTTAACCAAAAGTTATGTAATTAATTACGCATCGTGTGAACACCCTACAGATTAGGTATACACACACACTCACACATACGCGTGCGGCGGCGTGGTGTTGTATCAGCACGCCGCCGCACGCGTCCACACTTGAACACTTGGAACGTGTCAACACTTTATTTATTTATACGGAAATTTGGTCAAAAATTAAGTACCTATTTTTTTTACATAATTCGAATGAGAATCATGTACCGAGTATGCTCCTTAAATATTGATAGTAATTCACCAGTCACCCTGTATAAGTCCATGTTTCCTCACGATGTTTTCTTTCACCGTATGTCAGTGATGTCTAAATACTCTTATAAAGTACATATGACTCGGCAAAATCGCATTGGTACTTGCCAGGATCGAACCCGCGCCCTCGTGCATGAGAGGCGGGCCCTCTAACCACTAGGCCACCATTGACTGATAAACAATAGTTTGAAAAAAAAATAGTTTCGTTTCAATCAAATAATGTGCTAGGGATTGTTAGAGATGCCTTAGAATTCATTTAAATATTACTATAATAATAGTTGCATATTTTTTTATATTTTGAACCAAAATTACTACAAATTAAAAAGGTTTTAATAATTTCATAATTTAAGTATACTTTTATACTTTGTTATCTTGTTTCCTCTATCGAAAGTTTTTCTAGTGGATATATTTTAAGAGATAAAGTTATCCTTTGTGCATCTCCTCGTTTTATAACACTGTAATTATTTGCACTTTCCGCTACATAAATAAATAAACTAGTCGTATTTACTTGTTTTTGTTGGCATTTTCATATGATTTTTATTAGATAATGACATTAAATATTATTTGTATATGAAAATAATTATAAATTGCCCATAAACATACTCCTTACAGAAATAAATTAATTTAAATATTAAAAAATATCTATAATTAGATTTAGCAAGCTTATATTTACAGTGACAAAAAGACAAACACGATGACGTCACTCAAATATTTGGACATCACCAATTATGTTTCGTTTTAAAAGTAAAGTAAAACAAAAGAATAGAAAATAATATTAGACAAGGTTAAATATTAAATGAATGAAAATTGTGTTTAATATGTTTATTATATTACTTAGTAAAATAGTAGTAGAGCCTAGCTGTGGTCATACTACAGCTCGAACATGTTCTGTCTCGACCGTAAGTACCACCCTCTCACAGAAGATCGGCGTGAAGTAGTCTTTAATGACTGCGTTTCATACGATGAGTGAGAGAGACGATTGTCCTTTTCTTATTCCCATCCCTTCCTGCCCTTCCCTTTTTTTCCTTTTCCCAACCTATCCTTCAAAAATAAGGGTGGCAACACGTCCGCAATATAAAAACAAAATTGAAATTTC